GATGCAGATAGCTTTCTCTTGGCCCTGACTACCACCAAAAGCCTAATGAGGATGGCCTCATACACCCTGGTCAGGGTTTTCTTCACCCTCATGGTCCTAGAAAACGAAGCTTCCCTGGCAACACTATCCCTCATTCTTCGCCTTTCAGTGCAGGATGCTGTCTGCACAGAGACTGAATTAACCTCATGGTTAGCATTATGCCTTCTTGCTGGAGTCTGGGCAATTACAAGGTTGGCTTGCCAGCTGACAGGAAACAGAAGGACACAGAGAAAAGCAGAACAGCCAAAGGAGTGTGAGGGGTAGGGAGTCTTTCTCCTTCAACGTGCCATCGAAAGGGTCTCATGTTGTAACAGCCTCCAGAGGAATTAAACGGATAAATAAATAAATAAAGAGAACAAGGCGCTCCTTACAAACAAGAACATTTGTCTGCATTTATTAACATTTCCAGCGTGGATTTAATTCTCGGCAAAGTGTTCCTGCCTACACGTAGCCCAGCACATTGCGTGAAACCTCTCGTTAAGTTCCATACGAGCCATCTTTTCAGTGCATCCTCCAGGGGAATCTTCAAACAGATTTCATAATCTCGCTGATAAATGGCTCTTTTGCAAAACACTATTTACTTTCCAGCACCAGAAAGGTTGGCAACTTTTTCTTTTTTTTTTCTCTCTTTCTTTGAACAATCTCCTCCTTGCAGCTTCAGGGATGGATTCCTCACGCCTCCAAGGAAGGAGTCACTCATTGATTCCTTCAGTGGGAATGCCTTTCCTCCCCACTCCCCCACCCCAATACATCCCTGTACAGGGGTTCACTGGGGACAGCATTGAATTCTCAGTTTCTAATGAGTTACAAACTCATTGGTCTGGATTGGAGATTCTGTGGGTTTCTTCTAAACAGGAAGCAAGGCTGGGGTTGAGGATAAATCTAGGAAGTAGGATTCAGGAAATCTGGGTTCCTGGCTTTGCTCCAGGTATCCTCTGTGAGCTTACGCAAGTGACTGTTTCTCTCCGTCTCAACTCCTGGCCTGTGAAAAAGGGATCAACATTACTGCCTTTCCATCTATTTGTCCTGTCCATTTAGATAACAAGACAATCTCTATTCCAGAGAATTGCAGCGTACAGCATACCGCACAATAGGATGCCGGTCTAGGTCAGGACCTCTGGGCACTGCTATAATGCAAAAAAGTAACAAGAGCTGAATTAGCACCTTGCAATCTGCCCAGAGGAAGGAGCAGCATGGCAGCATCACAGTTTGGTCCCTACTTTCCACTTGCTCCATGAGAGGCATAAACTGCTTTAGGACCTTTCCTTGTTACCGATCACTTAGATCTCCATGCTGGCCAGCATTTCAGAGGACAGAGTTCTGGAAACATCCTCTTTCCACCCACCCACATAAAGCAGGAATAGGAGGTGAACTGTAGCTGCTCCACAACTCTGTGTTCCCCAAATGGTGTCACCAATAGCCTGTGTAGATGAGTTAATACATTGGAAAGGGTGTTGTAGTCTCTTCCTAGACATATACAATGCATCTGAACCCTTAGTAGTAATACAATAATGAGCATGCCACAAATGCACCGGGAGGTCACTACAGACAACCATATATTAGTTTTCATCAGAGCCTCTCAAAACTTCTTTGCCAACATTACATGTTTTCTATACTACTACAAGGTCCTATGGGTAGTGAGGTATTAATACATCTGACTACAGATAGATAAACCATGCACACTGAGCATGGCCAGAGATCCTAGCTGCAGATGGTTTGCACATCTAGTTATGTGTCTGCACTGCTAACCCCTTGTCCACATCCCTAAAATAGGCACGTCTGAAGAAATGACAATAGGTAACAGCATCACACAAAGCTTTTTAGGGCATTGTTACACCTTACCTGCGAGCCACACAGATGTTGATTGGCCTAGTGCTAGCTTGGAGTTTGGAGAGGTCACACCCCTAGTCTAGAAACTTTCTCTGACTGTCCCTCATCTGCACAACTGTGACTTGCTCTTAGAGGCCTGGTGAGCAGGGACAGGACCAGGAACTGTAGCTGTGAGTTGCCACTAGATAGAAGCCTGTCCTGGCTCACCAGCTATCCCTGCTCTATGGGCAGGGGTGTGAGATAGTCTGGGATACTGGAGGACTTCAACTTGGGTAGCACATCTGTTGGGGGGTGGCTACACCTTAATGGAACAGGATCTGGGTTGTGCAGATCAGAGAGGATTCTGCCCTGGAGTGGCATAACTTTGAGCTGCATAACGAGTGCTGAAAACCACTTTAAGATGTGACTGTAAGAATTAAGAGCTCCAGGAGCCTCCCAAAATTACCATGTAACGAGGGCCCTAGTTTCAGTCAGAAATTTGCATGTACAAACACCTGAAATGGGCTCCATTTACCAGTTAACGTGCTGAAATGAAGTTAAATCAATGCACCAGCAGGAGTTTGTTTGTTCCTTTCTTTTTCTTTTCTTTCCTTTTTTTTTTTTTTTTTTTTTTTTTTTGTTT